ATCAGCAGCTTTGCAAGTAATTCCCAGAAATGTAATTAGGTAGTTACTCATTATTTTATCAAGTTCTCCTTAAAAACAACTTCACAAACACAAAAACACTTACTTATGTTGGTCAGTTTTTAAAATGAGAATGAAAATTAAGCATTTCACAGTCTGTGTCTGGTTGGTCCTTTAATTTAGATTTCCCCTTATTTTTGCAGATACTTAAAGCTTCAAAAAGACTGCCCCCACTACCAGGAAGACCAGCCTAACCATACGCTCCAAAAGATGACTGTGATAGATCTTGTGAAGTAATTACTGAGCTGATCAAGATCTTTGGGAATGAACACTAAAGATGTTTTGAATGAATCATAGTCCACTGGCATTTTAGTGTATTTTTTTTAGAAGCAAAAATTACATGTAATGTTAACATTCCTGCATGTCCTTTTTGATAGCATTAGTGGATCCATTGAATTTCCTTTTCTTTTTGTTATACAGCATTTAGTTGTACCTGCATTTATGTGTGGTTTCCAGCCAATAATTAATAATTGATGTACAATAATTGTCTTGGCAGGGTTTACATATATATTATTATTAATTCACATTTACTGACTGTGTAAACTGCTTTTAACATCATTTTAAAGCCATAAGAGCGCTTGGCATTAGCATTCTTAAAAACACTACTTGTGGTCATCCTTCCATATGAAGATCTGAGTTGTATATATTGCACTGATATCCTTATCATTAGCTTCTAGTATTCAGGGCAAACCTCAAGTTTTGAGAAACCTGTGCATTTAACTTGTTGATTAGAAAAATCTAATAATTCAAAGAAAGTTTTAAATTATTGCTTTAATTTATTTTTCAAAAAAATGGGGAGAAGAATAATTCCTAGTTATGACATAGGGGAGAGGAATGACCTGCAATATCTTGCAGAAGAACTTTTTTTGGCAGCTTAGAATGATCATATATTAGCCATCGTCCATTTATTTTAGAAAATCTATATGAGTAACTGGTGCATAACTTAAAGATTGTTCTCCCTCTGCCTCATGTAGCCATGCCCTCATAACACTTAGATACTGCAAGAATGCCTTCTGCAGGTTGAATTAGGATGTGTGAACAGCATTCCCAGAGCCAGAAACCTGCTGCTGTTACACAGCCTAGGAACCTCTGCCTTTCTACACTGAAGAATTTTGTTATAATGTGATTTATTTTGGGCACAGAAATAGTTGCTGTGGTGGAAGCATTTGCTTGTTAGAAAAGAAGGTAGTCACGTCATGTTGAAAGGACCATGGCTTTCTATAAGAAAGCCATAAGAAGTAGTTTTATTTACCAGTCAGGGTTAGCTCTTGATTATGTTAACATAAGATAAGGTGTTTTAAGATAAGGTGACTCTTTTCTTGCTCTTAGGGTTAAAGTAAATAAGATTTTGTATTTTTATCAATATAGATCATAGTTGTACTATGTATGCATGCTGATCTACTGGGTAGTGAAATCCAAATAAGTCAGAAAAGCAATAATTTTCTAAAGCTGTGATGGGGTGATACTGAGTTGCTACTCAGGCTCTAATAAAGCTCTTAATTCATATTGTGAATTATAGAACACTACTTTTCTACAAAGCTGTATTTATTTTTTAGGGGAATAAGAGTGACATAAAACTGATAAATTAATAGAATAAAATTTACTGGATTTTTGTATGTAATCATCTCTTGAACTCTGGAAATTAAAGCTTCATTTTGCTGTGGTCAACTTCAAGTACCTTTTGACTCAAAATACCTGAATTAATGAGCCTTGTCTTCACAAATATATGCCATGCTGAGGTATCATAGATGAATTTTCTAAAGTAATGTGTATGTCTTCTGCTTAATATTGAGTGCAATAAAATGTAGAATTATCTATATTGTCATTATTTGAAGTATATTTTTAATTTTTTATATATCAAAATCAGTTCATTTTATACTTAACTAGCATTTTTAGAATATGATACTATTTTTGATGACCTGAATTCACAAAGTGTTCCTTAACCTTTCTTAAACTGTTTCCAGTAAGCAACAGTTACTTATTTTGTTTTACATTTACTCTTACACTACATTGCTAGAGGCAGGATTGAAATGAAATAGCCCTGCATACATCTTTCATAGATTTCATCCAGCATCAAGAAATTTTGATAATTCCTTAATAATTCCCCACACCCCTAACCTTTTCATCCTCTCTAATCATTGCACTGTGAGGAGATTAGCTTCATCCTAGTTTGGAAGACTGAAAATTCTGAATGAATCAAATGGCAGAAAAGCATACAGAGTTTGTTTTTCTTCCAATCTTTATTCTCTGGACAGAAAAGAAAAACTAGATGAATAGTGAAGAAGCTTCACCTCAAAGTGTTGCTTTCTTTAGCATGCTCAAAAGAGAAAATAAAGAATTTCAGGGTAAGCAGGTGTACTTTTACTGACTGTACTTACTGTGCTAAGTGCTTCATGTGTGTTAGGGAGTTAAATTTTCCCAGCAGATGGGAAAAAGCAAGGAACAGCAGGGATATCCCTGCTTGAAATGAGAAAACCAAGGGTCATCTGTGCTGACACAGCTGCCATACAATGGGCATTTACAGGACCCGACAGTGAACATCTGGACAACAGATACAGGTGGAACTAACTAGAGGAGGCCAAGAAATGTGCAGGAGAACAATTAGGAAACTAGGTTAGTAGGTGCCGATGGAGAGCATGAGCAGGGGACAGGATTGCTGTGACTGGAATACTGAATATGTGTACAGTTGGAGAGACAGCAGACCCTTGGGTCTTGGGCAGGGAACTGATGACAGTGCAGGATTAGCTGGCCTGGATGGAAATTAGCACTGAGCATGCTGAGTGCAACTAGAACTGCCCAATAGGCAGATTACCTCAGTAGCCAGAATGTTACTGACTTCAGAATATTTGAATCCATGAATGGTATTTTTTTTAATGGTTGGATAGATGACAGTTTTAAAAGATTAAGATCCTATTTTTAATAAGGTATTCCTGATTCTAATAAAATAGTATTGGGAGAAGAAACAATGTTTATACATTTAGAGAGTACATTCATTTTGTTGGATTTGTGTGTTTGAGTACTAAATCTATGTTACAGTGAATTGTATAATTTGTAGGGTTGGGCTGAAAATACAATTGCCTTTAATTTATGGGTTATATTGGAATATGAGCATGATTAAAGTAACCATTGACAAGATCCCTTAGCCTCTCTAGGCCTTAGTCCCTTATTGGTAAAATTAAAACTACCTCACAGGGTTGAATGAAATAGGATAGTCAGCATTAAGTGCTTAGCACAATGTCTGTTATAAAGTAAGTGCTCAATAAGTCATTCTCTTTGGCACTGCAAGGTCTATATGATGCCTACTAGGGTCGCATATGTAAAGAGGATAAAGTAAAGCAAACTTCATTATTGGCCATGCAGAATGCTAGTGAGTTAAACTGGATCACTTAAAAAAAAATGCCTTTATCTAAGCTTAAGCTCTGTGGATTGTGCTCAAACAGGAGTCTCAGATCTTGGTGTGTTGATATGAGGTGAGGGGCAGAAGGAGACAGACGCTGAGGGTTGGGAATAGTTGGTCTAGGCCTTGTTGGGCCAGGTTGGTTCCACTATGTTTGGTATTGTTTTGTAATTGTAAGAAAATGGGTATCCCCTTTTCCTGGGAGCATAGCTGCTTAGAACCCTTCCCATACCTGAAGTGTGACCAGTTCACACTACTTCCTTCCCCTTTCTCATCTCGGGATTATAATTAGCTTGATTACTTTGAAGATTAACTAGATTCTAATTTGTATTAACAGTAAGCCAGAGGTGAGCTTATAAATGTAAAAACTGAGGTTAGAATCACATGATTCCATCATATGCTATAGCTGTCCATGTGGGGGTATATGTTGCTTGGCAAGCTCAGATACTTTTTATTTTTTTAAGATTTTATTTATTTGGCCCTTCCTGGTGCACAGTGGGTTAGGATGTAGCACTACAGGCTAGCGGCAGCTGCTTAGTACAAGTTTGATCCCCACCCCAGAGATGATCCACATGGCACGGCAGACCTCTCCTGATGCACCCGCTGCTCCCCTCAGCAGTGTACTTCGATAATCTTCCTGTTCTGCTCCCCACTCTGTCTCTGGTGAATCCTCTCACCTCCTCTGTACCTCTGCCCTGTACTCTAGTTCTGTATGCATAAATAAATCTAAAAAAAAAAAAGATTTTATTTATTTAAGTACAGAACTAGGGTACAGGGCAGAGGTTGGAAAGGGGTGATTCACCAGTGACAGAGTGGGGAGCAGAACAGGTAAATCTACTAAAGCACACTGCTGAGGGGAGCAGCTTTGGCCACCTCACCTTTGCACTACCAGAGAGGGCCTCTGCTCAGCTTCTTGATGGGCTTCACTAGCTCTTTTGTGGGAGGGCACGAACTGGCTCACTGGGTGAGAGGCTGATGTGCTTGAGTTTTCAGGCTCATCTGGCTCCTCCACAAGTGAGCAAAGGTGCACACCTGGCCATAGCACAGATGCTCCCAGTGGGTCACCAGTGGACGAGTGAAGTCCTTTGAGGAGTGAGCCTCATGTCTCCAATAGTGTGACATGCTGCACCCAATTTAAAGCACATGGTGGCTATTATAAGGAAGTCTTGTGGTCAGGAGACCATTCAAATATTGAACAAATCTTGATGGGGGCTTCTCCCCACCCCAGTTTGCCCCTGTGGCCCCACAGGTGTTTGGAGTTGGTGGAATAATCCACAAGGACTATATTATAGTTGGTGAATCCTTAACATGGTGCCTGATACCTAGTTACTGCCCAGTAACCTTGTTGAGTAATTCAAATGTGCCTGATCTTGACATCTTATAACAGGTTTCCTTTGTTAGGAAGTTAGGGTTTAGGCAAATTGAGTCATATGGTCCAGGAGTATTTTTTCTTAACTTATATTTATTTTAATTGATTTAAATATAGTCCTGTATTTTGAGATATTGCATGGTGAGTTTCATAACTCTTTTTGTCTTTGATTTTCAGAAACAAATAGAAAAGCAGATGATGGGGAACAAAAAGTAAAAGGTGAGACTAATCGACTAAATAGCCTTTCAAATGCATATTGGAAAAAAAATGACCCCCTCCCTGAATAACTTTATTTTTATAGCACTAATTAAATTGTCACTGTGTTTATTCATTTCAATGATTTTTTATCAATAAGCATTTAACATTCCACATAAACGAGTAACTAAGGCTCTGTAGAGGGAGTGTTTAACTTCCAGTCCTAGTTTTACCATTCACTACATATAGGCCCTTGAGGACACCTTTGCTTTGTGCCTCAGTTTCTTCTTCTGTAATAGAAGAAAATTAGTGCTTCACAAAAACATAAGAATATCGTTTCCACAATAATAATTAAATAATTTATGTAATGTGCTCAATGCACAAAGATTATCATAAAGTAAGCCCTTAGGAAATGTTAGCTATTAATTGTTGCTTTTTCTTGAAAACTGTGCCCGTAGAGAGTTACAAAGATTATTAGTAGGTGCTACTTTTTTCAAAACTCAAGTTGTTTGAAAGACAGAACTGCAAACAAAGTGATGACATATAAAATGAAGTGCTCTGCTTTCAAAGCATTTATTAGAAAGTATTTTAATAAATTTAATAACCCATTAGAACTTTAGCTTTTCCAGAGTTTCCTAAATTCTAAGAGTGTGGAGTTTATTTTTGGGGCTAATCATATGGATGATCATAGGGCAGAGGCTGTACTTTTAGTATCAGTTGAAGATTACATTTTTAGTGATTAAACATTGCAATTTCAAGAATACCTTTAATGTGGGCGGATGAGAGCATAGCCAGCACTTGTAAAGGTATAGGATACATACTGTACTGTATTTACTCTGTAAATCACACCTGAGCTTGTACAGTTGCTGGCCCCTGAGTGTAAGTTTGTTCATTCTAGTATTTTACCTATATTGAAATAACCTGTCAACTTTGCCATTTTCCCCTTCGTATTAGAAGCTGTCAGTTGAGTTTCTACATAGACAACTGGGATTTAGTTTGATCATTCTATGACCAGCCTTACCTGCTGAACTTTGCATATATTTGTGACATTTTCTGTGTTAGGTATAACAACTGGTGTGGAGAAAAAGAAAAGCATGGAGGAGATCAGTAGATTTTTATAGAGTTGATGACTTCCTCCACTCCAGACACTTCCTTGAACTGTCTTGTTGGTTACCACATTCTGGTGGCTTTTCTTCTACTCTACTGTTTGCTTTTTCTCACTCTTTGAATGAATGCCCCTCATCTCCATTCCCTGACCTTCCCTTCAAGTTTTATAGTGTCCTAAGACTTAATTTTCAGAATGTTTATCTACACACAACACATTCTTGATGGTTTGCTTTAATCTCATGACTTGAAATATCTCCATGTGCAGTGATTACCAAATTTATGTGTATCCTGGCTTCCATCCCTAGACTGGTGTGTTTGGTTGTCTGCCTGATGCCTACTTAATAACCTCAGCTGGGTGTCTAATAATCACCTCAAACCTGGACATCAGACTTTCTCCCCATACATCCCACTCCTAATAGGACTCTTCTCTTTCATTTCCTCCCCATCACTCCGTCAGCAGGTCATGTCATTCCTCTTTCCAGGATATATCCAGAATCCATGTCTACCACCTTCAGCACTGCCTTCCGGGTCCCAGCCACCACCACTGCTTGCCTGGATATTCCATTGCCTCCCAACAGGTCTTGCTCCCTGCTTCCAATTTGTCTCTGTAATCTTTCTCAATACAGTAGCCTTTAAAACCTAAGCTGGTCCATGGCTGCTCTGATGCCTCCATCATCTTCTTAACTTCCTCAGAGTGGTTTATAAGACCTCACTCAATCTGTTCTCCCTTCTCTCTCTACTACTGTTTTTTTGTGCCCAACCTCACACCCTGTGTCCCTCTTCTTTGTTTACTCTACCCCAGATTTACCCACTTCCCTGCCATGCACACTAAAGACCCAGGGCCTTTGCACTGACCATTCCCTGCAGACTGGCTATTCTCGCAGACACCCATATGGCTTATTCCTTTAGCCTTTGCTCAACCATTGGTTTATGAGACTGCCTACTTATTTCCTTAAGCAATGCCCTTACACTCCATAACCTGTTTCCTTACTTTATCTTATCCATAGCCCTGGATATAACCCCCGCATGGTTACATATGATAGTTTAGTTCTCTAGTGTTTATTGTTTGAACCTCCCATTGGAGTCAAGTTTCCATGAAGATACAGTTTTATCTGTCTTGTTCACTGCTGCATTTCCTGTGCCTAGAGCTGTGCCTAACAAAAAGTAGGCACTGGGTATGCTGTGTCATTCAGCACCACACTGATAGAGACAGGAGTCGTGGCGCAGGCTACATAATGCAGGATCTTGCTGCCCAAGAGCAAGATCCTGGCCTTTTTACTGGTAAACTAATCATACAGCATTAACCATATGAGGAAGTAGAAAAGAAAAGGGAAAATATAAGAAGCTGGGGGAAAGGTGGAACTGTACTTCTCATCTGCTGATAGCTTGGTATGTAGATCAAATCCGGATTCTCCAGTCAGGATTTCAGTAAGGATTTCAGTCTTATCAATAAAGTATTCCACTGATCAGCTTCTGGGGTCTTTTGTTATCCATCAGTCAAAGGCCCCGGGGTGTTCTGGTCATACCTCGTGATGCACACCCTTCCCAGAGTGATCCTGCTTTATGCTCTTAATTGATTTGAAAGTTACCTCTAGGGTTGGGCTCCTATGGCCAGTTCTGTATTCCTAACTGCAGGTAACAAAATGGAGGCAGGATAAGCTGCCGAGAATTAGCAGACCCAAATAAGTGAACGTTTGTTGAATATTTGTAATTTTTTAGTCAGTAAGTATAAATATGAGCAGATAAGAAAGGCTATATAAACCTAAACTTTCAGTAAGAACTAGACCCAGATAGAACTCCCAGAATGGAAATTTATAGAACAAACAAAAAAGTGAATGGAGACCCAAAACTGGGAAATTCAAAACTGCAGTGACACTGGGTTTAGAAGATACCACCTTTGTCATCCCTAAAGATCCCTATAGAAGCCATAGCAGCTGTGTGGTCTCCTCTGTGACTTAATATGTCCAAGCAGGGTGAGCCTATGTCAACATCATACCCAGTCTGTGTGAAGCACAGAAACCTGGAGGGAAAAAAGAACTTTTTAAAGATACTTAAACTTCATATGCTCACTCATAAATGAGAATAATTGGTGATACCAGCTTAGAAAAGGGAGAAAAAGGACCCTCCCTTGTGGTGCAGAGGGTTAAAACACAGCACAAAGAAGCTTAACCCACTTCCGCATGAGTTCGATCCCTTCCTGCCCCGGAGGAGACCCACATGGCGCAGCAGACCTCTCCTGACCTGCCTGCTGCTCCCCTCAGCAGTGTACTTTGTCGATCAGCCTGTTCTGCTCCCCACTCTGTCTCTGGTGAATCCTCTCACCCTCCGCATCTCTGGCCTGTACCCCAGTTCTGTATGAATAAATAAATCTGTTAAAAAAAAAAAAGGGAGAAAAAACAAATCCCTATTTTATTCCTATTTTCTGTTTTCTGTTATGTTAAGGAAATAACTACAATTCAGGAAAACCTTAGTTTTTTTTTTTAATTTTAATAACTTTTATTTGTTTTTTAAAAGATTTATTTATGCATACAGAGCTAGAGTACAGGCTAGATGTGCGGAGGGTGAGAGGATTCACCAGAGACAGAGTGGGGAGCAGAACAGGGAGATGGACTAAAGTGCACTGCTAAGGGGAGCAGTGGGCGGGTCAGGAAAGGTCTGCTGTGCCGTGTGGGTCGCCTCCGGGGCCAGGGGTCAAACTGGCACTGAAGCGGCTGCTGCTAGCTTGCAGGGCTGCACTTTAACCCACTGTACCACCAGGGAGGGCTCAAAACTTAGTTGTTTTTTGTTTTTTTTTTTAACAACCTCTACTTCTTGCATCCTCCTACCATGTCTTCAAGAATTGTAACATGTCAAATTCAAACCACTGCATTGTCATTATAATTAAATTCACTTATATGTAATTCCTTAAAACAAATTTTATATCAGTTGCCTAATTTTATACAGTGGCTTTAACAGGAGTCTTATTTTTTTTTTTTACCAATATATATAACCTGAGGCCATTTTAGAGGCTCATCAGAGACGCAGCTTCTTTTTCCATTCTGCTATCTGTATTTCATAACCTCATGTTCCAGAAAAGCTGTTGAAGCAGTAGCCATTATAGCCAAATCCAGGCAGAGGGAAGGAAAAAAAAGTAGGGGAGAAAAAGAGGCTTTTTAGAAGAGTTACATTTAATTGACAGAATTTTTGCTAGAGCTTCAATTCAGGCTTCTATTTCTAAAGATTAGGGGGAAATTCAATTGTGAGGGGCAATGCAGCTAGCAATTTGGCCATGTGGTATTATCTATTATATGCACTACAGTATTTTAGGAAAATCATTACTGTTCCATTTTAGTTTCATAGATATCAGAATGTTTGTAAAAAACCATCAGCTCTTCATTATTCATAAAACAATGTGCTATTTTATTCATGCACCTAGCTATTTGCATGCCTGGTGCATGCCAGGCACTCTTCTGTGCAAGTTGTGTACACCGGTAAGAGCATCATGTACAGCTTTTTGCTTTCCTGAAGTGCATAACCAGTCGGTAGTGCAGTAGCACGTGGAAAAGCTGAAATTGTGAGAGTGTTCTGGAGGCATCAAGGTAGCAGAGCTTGCTGGTGGGTAAAGGGGATTTGAAAGAGGGTAGATAGTTTCTAGGGATGCTAGTAATGTCTTCTAGGTAACAGTATGTGTGAAATCAGCTTGGAGGCTTGTGAGCAGAGGAATAGTCTGCACAGAGTTCCTCAGGCAGGAAAGAAGACCGAGAAGCTGGAGCTGCCTGAACAAGTCGGTTGAGTGTGTGTGCAGTAGTGAGAGCCAAGGAAGAGACCTGGTCGGGGAGTCTGGGCACACCCTGCCACTGTAACATGCCTGCGTCAGAGCCTTTCTTATTCACATGTTGGCTGGCTGGCTTCTGGAAGGTCTACCTTCCAGAGATAGA